TTACTTAGAATGCAACATAAAGAACATGAAGTAAAAACTCAGCGTTCCTCTTGTTTATGAAGCACTGCATTGAACATTAAATGTAATAAAGTCTTTCCAATAACGTGTAGACCTAATCACTGATAAATTAGACCTTCATTAGAGATTAGTTCTTTCATTTCTTTCTGAGTGCATCATGTGTAAAAATGAGTCATTGGAGGAGGAGGCAGGAAGGATGTGTCTCAGTCCAGAGGCTCCTCATAATTTAGAAAGATTAGATTTTTGTGGGAATCGTGACGGCAAAGTTGTTGTATACTGTTTTTGTCCTGTAAGTTTGACAGAGCTTTGTGTGACTCTAATCTGACCGAAGCTCCACAGAAATGCAGAAGAAGAGTTCACAGATTATAAAAAGTGTTACATTGTAGTTGTAAACATCTCCACACACTCACACAAGTCCAGAAACATGTCAGGAGCTGAAGCATCGGCCCAGGCAGGATGTGTCACAGCTTGTGCCAGTTCATCCAGGTTTCTCCGCAGAGCGGACCGGCCAAGGGAGCTTCCAGTCTAATGCTATAAAAACCACCATGGGAGCTGGTGGGCTCATGCAGGAGCATCTGGCCTCACCTCAGACGCCTGCCAGGATGGACATTAGATCTAAATAATTGGCCAGAACAACAGTGTGAGATGGACAAACGAGAGCCTCCTCCTGGGCGGCCTGATGGCCAGAAGGACACAAAACACCGCTCTGTGTGCAATAAGCAGAAAATATTCATTTAAAAGGAATCGATGAGGATTTTAGGGAGCGCTTGTAAAAACACTTAAACATAATCATCATGACCAAGTGGCAAAAATGATGTAATGTTCTTTCCATAGGGTTCATTAATATTCAGCACTTGAAGACTAGAGAGAGGAATGCATTTCTGCAAAAACACACCTGAAACACTCGATCACCGTTTGTCATGTCTGTGTGCAAGACAAGGTTTATTTACGTTTAACGGAAATAAAAGTGTAGAGTTTTATTGTTTCTGCACTGTGGACATAGAGGATAGCTCACATGCTGTGCACATGAACTAAAATAATTTTTAACTTTTAAAGTTTGCTTTAAAAATGCAGTGTGGAAAAAATAATTCATTCTTTTTACAAACGTCCATTCATCATCTTTATGTTACGTATTTCTTTTTTTGTTTCTTGTTTTTAAGAAAAAAAACGTATTTGTTTCTTACTTGTCAGGTTGCGGGGGTCACTGTTGTCCGTGTCCATCACTGTGCGAGAGACGGGGGACATCTGGACAGGTCTCCAGTCCATCACGAACATGTGAGCACATATGCGCTCTCTTTAAACGGACACAGATTAATTTACAACATCTTACAGACCTGCACAAAAAGCTTTGGCTTCATCAATCTCTAAATCCTTTCTTAGAAACGTTGGGTTTTGTCATCAAGCATGTTGGTGAATTTTGATGTTATCTGTTGAAACGTTTAATCTTTTATCTAAGAGACTTCCTCAGTCTGAGGAGCTGCAACAAACAACCAGTTTGTTGTTGACATCCAGAACTAGCTGCTCACATGTGAAGAAGGACGTACCTTGACCTTGTAATTTGGCTCGGATGGATTTGGATGGACTCCTTGGTTTATTTTGTTTACTATCCACACCATCCATCCGATCAACCTGGTTGTATTTCCTGTTGTGTCCATGTCCTGGATGGTTGGCTACAGCCCCACCAACCTTATACTTTTCATTAACACGGTCAGTTGTTGTCAGTGGGTGGAGAAAAGTTTCAGGAGGGATTTGTGACTAAAGAGTGTCAGCAAAGGTCAAAGGAAAAGTTTACAAGACAGTGGTGAGACCAGCTATGTTGTCTTGTCTGGAGACAGAGACGTGGACAAAAAGACAGGAGACAGAACTGGAAGTGTCAGAAATGAAGATGTTGAGGTTCTCCTTAGGAGAGACAAGGATGGAGAAGCTCAGGAATGAGATCATCAGAGGTACAGCACAGGTTGAACATCTGGGAGATAAAGTTAGAGAGGACACACTGAGATGGTTTGGACATGTCCAGAGGAGGGACAGTGGTTTGGACATGTCCAGAGGAGGGACAGTGGGTATATTGGTAGAAGGATGTTAGAAATGCAGCTGCAGGAACAAGACAAAGAGGAGACATCTGGATGCAGTTAGAGAGGACATGGAGATAGTTGGAGTGAGGACAGAGTGATGGAGGAGGACTCGCTGTGGAGAACCTGAAAGAAGAATTTGTCCGATGAGCACGGAGCTGCTTGGAGACAGTCTTACAGGGTTTACCTTTAAGATGGAGATCTTTAATCTTCTTTCTGAGCTCTTCAGACAGCTCTTGCCTCTGTTCTCTGTTTATTCATTCAAACTTTATTTGGACAGGTTATTATGGTGAAAACAAAAACTACTGTCCAGAGACATGTTTGCTCCTTTTAAATAGACTGAAATATTGATGAAAAGATTAAAGGCTTTTGTGGTTTTAATCAGGGTCAAACAGTTTGAAACATGACTATGATCCATGGAATAATAGTCTCTTTATCCGTCGGTACAAAGATATGCTGAAAGTAGTACAGACAACCAATCAATTCAGAACCAAGTGTCAATGAACCAGCACCTCCAGATCTGAGACCATGGTCCTCACATGGAAAAGGGGGGCTTGTTCTCTTCAGGACAGGGCAGCATGGTGGCACAACTGGTAGAGCTGCTGCCTCTCAGCGAGAAGGTCCCTGGTTCAAACCCCGGTCCAGGGGTCTTTCTGGGTGGAGTTTGCATGTTCTCTCTGTGCATGCGTGGGTTTTCTCCGGGTGCTCCGGTTTCCTCCCACAGACCAAAAACATGCATGTTAGGCTGATGGTAACTCTAAATTGTCCCTAGGTGAGAGAGAGAGAATGAATGGTTGTTTGTCTCGTTTGTCTCTATGTGTCCCTGTGATGGACTTGCGACCCGTCCAGGGTGTCCCCCGCCCCTCGCACAGTGATTGCTGGACATGGGCACCAGCGACCCCCGTGACCCAAAATGGAATAAGCGGGTAAAGATAATGGATGGATGGATGGATGGATGGATGTTCTCTTCAGGTCGCGGATGAGGTTCTGCCTCAAGTGGAGGAGTTCAAGTATCTCAGGGTTTTATTCACGAGTGAGTGAAGAATGGAGCGTGAGATTAACAGACAGATTAGTGCAGTATCCGCAGTATTGTGGAATATGAACTGGTCCGTTGTGGTGAAGAGGGAGCTGAACTGTAAGGCAAAGATCTCTATTTACCGGTCGGTCTACGTTCCTCCCCTCACCTCTGGTCATGAACTCTGGTAGAGACTGAAAGAATGAGATTGTGGATCCAGGAGGTTGAAATGAGTTTCCTCTGCAGCTGGACTCTCCCTTAGAGACAGGGTGAGAAGTTCAGTTATCAGGAGAGACTCGGAGTAGAACCACTGCTCCTCCACATCCAGAGGAGCCAGTTGAGGTGGTTCCGGCATCTAGAAAGGATGCTCCCTGCTCCTCCCTAGGGAGGTGCTTCAGGTATGTCTGACTAGGAGGAGACGCAGGACACGCTGGAGAGACTACGTCTCTGTTGTCCTGGGAACACCTTGGGGTCCTCCCAGAAGAGCTGGAAGAGGCTGTGGAGAGAGATGTCTGGACCTCCCTGCTCAAGGTGCTGCCCTGATATCTGAGTCCAGAACAAACAGAAGATGATGGATGGATGAAGTAATCGATTCTTTACATGTTTTGTTTATTTTATTACAAACTTAATGCTTTTAGTCATAAGAAAATCACTTTTTAAGAGAAATGAGCCTTTTTTGTTGAATATTAATGGTACCAACAAATCCAGCAGCGTCTGCATATTAAAGCACCCATTTAAACTATTTGCATCCTGCTTTGCTTCTAGAATATCCATTGGATACTTTGTTGCTTTTGTTTTCCAGGAGAACAAAGATGTTTTTTTTTTCTGTTTTAGAGCTGTGGAGCTTCTACTTGGATCATCCATCACTGAACCAAAAAAACAGATTAACTGTCGTGAACTCACTGTTGAAGAGCAAACTAAACACAAAAGGTTAGGGCTGTGCAAAGGTAGAAATTGAACATTTTAATTTTGGTATTCAGTACTACAAAATACACAAACATTTGTTTCAAAAGTAGCGATAAATAACTTTGGCGTACAAAAAAAAGGCAAAAACATCCTTGATGAAATATCAATGTAAAAATTCCAACAAAGAAAAATGCAAGACATACAGCAACAAATGTATCAAACAAAGCACATTTAAGTAAGTTCCCTTTCAGAAAACAAATAAATATGTATCATGATCAATCATTCTGAAGAAAGCTCGACAGTTAAGCCTTTCTGAAACAGACTGGACATCGCTACGATGGAGAAGTTTTTGCAAAATTAAAAAACATATCTATCCAAATGATGTGCATGTGCATCATGTGCCTTTTAAAAAATGCACAGTAGTGTCAAATAGAATGAAAATAAAATATTTACAGAGAATTCAAACTAATCGGCTGCATTTAGCCACTGATTAGATCTTTAGCAAAACAAGGAGAGTGAAGCCAAGCTGCTAATGAACAGCAGCTTCCTTTGCCTGGACAGGAATCACAGAGGAGTTCGCTCGCTGCAGCCAGCTCACGTTTAGAGTTAGAAAAAGAAGCTCAGCATCTGCCCACACACGCTGAACTTTAAAACCATCCTCTGCTGGAGGAGGCAAACAAAAAGCCTCTGCCTTATCTTGGAGAAGCTTGGAAATATAGAGCTCACAGGTAATGGTTTACATCTGCTCCAGTGGTTTTTGTCACTTTAAAGCGCACTCAGAACCCACTATTGGTATTCCACAGTGACCACATCCACTCAGAAGATTTATTAGATTCCAGTCTGCTCTGCTTCATCCAATTAGAGAAAGGACAACAGTGTAAAGGAAAATCTTGTTAGCTCCCAGAGGAAGTGCACGAGATACAAAACGGCAGCGAGGGTCTGTTTCCAACGTCCTGCGTGTTTTCATTGGCAGCTGTTGGACACATCTGGGCTCAGTCCTGGTCATCTTTACACTCGCAGGAACACTCTTCATGGTGCTCCAAGGGCACGTCAGTCATGGACTTCAGCAGGCCTCTCCCACCGCTCCGATGTTTCAACAGTAGAACCTACAAAACAGGAGGAGATCCTCAGTCCTCCAGGAAAAGGTAAATCAAAGAAAAGAACGGCACATTTTACACAGGACCAACTATCGTACAGCAATTCAGCACCCTGTAGCAATGGCTTGACCTTGTATGACTTTGACATTAATTTGTGACCTTGACCTCTGAGCTGGGGGATGAACGTTGTACACAACACTTGGTCTAGTGATGATGCACATGTTTATGAAGTTTCATTAAAATATCTTGAGCGGGTCAGAGGTTATGAACAGGACAAACTAAGACCTTGTTTTAACTTTGACCTTGATTTGTGACCTTGACCTTGAATCAGGCATGACGAAAAGTGCATATGACGCTGCGCTAGTGATGATGCACGTGTATCAAGTTTCATTTACTGATGGAAGACTACACCATAATGCAAAGTAAAGTGATTTTACTGACAGTATTTTCAGCTAAGCATTTTTTTTTGGGTCAGTTTCACTTTCATCACTTTCATTAGTTGCAGATACATTTTATTTCCATCTCTCCAGAGATATGAGACTACAGAAGCCTTATCCAGTGATACAACCCCCCCACCCCCCACCCCACCCCCCCTGCCCCATAACAACTCACTAACAGGTTGTCAAAGCTAAACCTCTGACAGTCACAGTGTAACTCAATGTTTTCTACGCCTCAAACGACTGAAATTAATGGACTTTTGTTGTTGGTTAACAAAAGCTCCATTTGTTACACACAGAAGAAACACTTCTGAAGAAACGTTACTGAAGACACCGACCAGGGGGCACTTATCTTATGTAGCTTCAACTTCTGGCTTCTAGCCCCGTTTCTAAATATGATCTATGCCAGTGGTTTTGACTGTCCATTTCCAAGGCCCGGTGAATAAAACGTAATTTGAAGATAGTTAGATAAAAATGAGGAAGAGGCTGGATTTTGGTGATTTACTTTTCTCTTGAAAATCTGTAGGACTAAATGAGATAATGTCAAATTAAAAGAATCAGAATAACCTTTATTATGATTGTACCTTAATACAGTGAGATCAAGTTTGTGCAGTCGTCTGGAAGAAGGGTGGAGTGCACGTTGCTGCTGCTACAAGAGTTGGACCCCTTATTCTTTATCAGAATACTTTTTTTTAGATAGAAAAAGGTAAAAGGCCATGAGGATGGATATTGGTATTACACAAAGAACTTTCCACATCTTGTGATGTCAGGACACGATTTGAGGCATCAAAAAACTCGACCAGCAGCACATTTATAAATGTATTACATATGTATTTGACGTCAAGATGTTGAGAGTTGTCCATGAAGCACTTTCAGATAGGTCATAGTCCTGATCAGATGTTGGTCAGCCAGCACAGTTCTGATAAGCCTGCATAGAAGTTCTCTCTGGGGGTGTGTGGGGGGTGGGGGGATAAACAAAGATTTTTCCTTAGTTTATCCATGTTCCAGGAGAAATTTGATAGTCGTCTCACATCCGAGGCCAAACGGGGGAGTCGAATTCACATAAGCCACAATTGTTGATTTTCTTCAGGCACACTGTTTTTTTTCTTGTCAGTCTTGAGTCCTGCTGGAACTTTCCAGATCCAAAATGCCCAGATGTATGGACATTCCACTGATCCGTGCTATGAGCCTTCTTCAAGGTCACCTCCAACATGCTGGCGAGTCCTAAAAGTCGCAGGTGGCTTGCAAATCTCACAAATCGCTTCCATCTTACAGTTTAGCTCGTAGATCAGCTGATTTTGAGTACTTGTAGCATGAACAAACCTTCACACAGACTTGGCAGTTTTGTCATGGCCGAAAATGCTGCTGATGTCTTCTTCAAAAGTCGATAACATAGGGACCCGTCCATGCCAAAAAGCAGAAACCCTGCCATCATGAATCCAATTATATAAAAGTCTTCGGTGTCCTCCTGAGACAGAACTGAGAGACACATCAGCTGCCAAGCTCCCCATGATCCCTGGTGTATCCTGCAGCGTGAGTCACGGCAGGACATGAGGGCTCTCCAGGACGCTGTTTTGTTGAAAATATTTTGTTGATTGCGTTGAAAGTCCAGCTCACCAGATCCATAATAGTATTTTTTGTTCAGAAGATGTGTACCAGGAGCTCCGAAACACACAAACAGAGCAAAAAGCAGGAGGAAGAGAGGAAAAACATGTCCCTCTGTAAATTACATCAGCTTTGAAATTCACATTCATTTCTGATTTCCGAGGACCAAATGCACACTATGTTTAACCAATATACAGTAAAAACTAGAAAACAGTTTCCTCAAATGAGTGGGGTGGTCAGTTTACTTAATTATATCCCCCCCTTACACATACACACACACAGTATATATAATAAATCACCTTTGATACAGCAGTCATGGCTGTGCAAACTGGGCAGTGTAACTAAATTAATGAGTACCTCATGGTATTTTTTTGTAAGCCTGGCAGGAACACACTGGCAGTCGTGGCAGTGATGGGAACAGCAGGCACAATTCCCACCGCACCGCTTCACCAGGAGGCAGCTGGGCCAGAAGATTACATCTGTCCTCTGCAGCTCTTCTCGTAAAGATACAGAGAAGTTGCGAGGTGTGCAGCTGTACCGTCGAACGTCTTCCCTCAGCAGATTGAGATCAGCACCTACACAAAGATAATACAATTTACTTTAAATACATGTACATCTCAAGGCATGAATACAGTTATGAGGTTTTTAGTGTTTTTTTATTCTCCATATAAAGTAAATCTTGACACGTCCTGTGTTAAATCATGGATGACTGTTTTGTTTGATGCAGGCTGTAAACACCTCTCACCTCTTGCTTTCTTATTGTGGATGAAGGATTTCCCCAGCACATGCCATGACGGCTTAAACAACTCGTCTACATCCAGCTGCCATCGCTCTGGTTCCAGGTACTTCATGACCTCCTCCACGGTGCTCAGCTCTGCCACAGCTTCTGACAACTCCTCAACACCCTGCAGGGACGGTGGGAGGACTGCAGGGACGTCTGCCTCGGATTTACTCTGCAGACCAACAAATCACACGAGACACTAAAACTTTTATACAATAAAGGATGAACTGACGGCAGGAAAAAAAAATGTTTAAAAATGTTTTTAAAGGATTCCACGCTTGGTAAATTAACAGCACACCCTAAAATATTTACAGGCAATGCATCATTTACATCTTATGTTAAATACCCCTCCATCTACAAGTCTTTTATGGGTAAACAGGTGAGGGTTTTCCACATCAATAACCTCTAAGTATACAAACTTTTTCATGATGCTTTAAATTTAGCAGTGGCAGTGCTAGTTTTTATTGTGCGTATCAGATGGAGATTAAAAAGTAGGAGATTTTCATTCTTGTGTCATGTCGTTATAAAATACTTTGATCAAATCAAGTTTGGCTTCATTAAACTGATTTGGGCCTGATCTGAGTTCAACAAAAACATTAACAATTTAGAGTAAAGGCCAATTCCTTGTCCATCAAATGTGATGAGATTAAATGAGATCAGACGAGATGAGGCCAGATGAGAATAGAGATTAAATGAGATCAGACGAGATGAGGCCAGATGAGAATAGATGAGTCGAGACAAGATGAGATGATATGAGTCGATATGAAATGGTACAAGATGAGATTAAACAAGACCAGATGAGACAAGATTAGACAAAGGTAGTTGAGACGAGACAAGTGAAGACTAGATGAGACTAGATGAGACTAGATTAGACGAGGCGAGTTGAGAAAAGATGAGATAAGATGATAGGTGAAATGAGATGAGGTAAGATAAGAAAAGATAAGGTAAAATAAAGTGAGAAAAGATGAGATAAAGTGAGATTAGATGAGAATAGATGAGATGTGGTAAGATAAGACAGATAAGGTAAAATGAGGAGAGTAGAAGACATTAGACGAGATAAGATAAGAAAGATGATACAATTTTATTTATCACATGATGGAGAAATTCAGATGTCACACAGTGGCAACAAGAGTACTAGAATAAAGTCAAGGCCTAAATAAAGGAATAAAATATTATTAATACATTTAAATAAAAGTATGTGCACATATAAATATACATATAAACGTTTAGTTATAATTGCACAATTTGTCCATATATATACACACAATGACTATTGCTTATGAAAAATTATAAAACGGAGGAGAAATGTAGTGAAGTGTGTGTATAAAAATAAACTACAGACTATGTGATATTATAATGCACCTTACATCTGATGGGACATTCAAAGTGAGTGTCATCTGGTAAGTGTGCACATCCAGTACAAACAGCTGTAGAGTCTTTTTATATAGTTTCAGCTCTGAGCGCTCAGAGTGAAGTAATGACTGGATTTTATTGAGTTGTCAAATATGATTCCATCTCTGTCACCTCCTCGGCCCACTTTGCATCCCAACAGGGTTTTGGAGCTCTACTTGGTGACATTATTTAATTTCTAGCTCTGATCTTTCCTGGTTACAGTCACACAGAAGATTGATAAGTGGGTCTTTGGTCCTCCCACAGCAGAAGAGACAAATCTGTTGAAGCGTTCAGTGCGGTGGCGCTGCGTTTGTCCAACGTGTCAGCTCGCTCGCGGCTCTAATCTGTTGTGACTGGCAGGTAGAAGGCAACAATGTGACACACACAAATAAATTAAATAAACCTCGTGGAGGATTCAGCAGGTGGATTTTTGAGCTTTGGGGAAATAAGAAAGATCTGAATCCGAGTCCTGGAGCCAGAAGATTTAATTTGATGGTTTATAAAAATTATGAAGGAGATCAAAGAGATAAGTACAGAGACTGACTGAATACAGTAAATAACGTACGACTTGTTGGAGCAGCAGAAAACACGTCTGATGCTGTTTCAGCTTGGCTCAGCACAAAATTAAGTTGCTAAATAATTGATCAGTTATGAGATATTCAAACAAATATGATTGTGTAAATGATTGTCTAATTACTCAAATGTTTTATACATGACATAACTGTGCTGAAAAAGTGCCACATGTTAAACTTAAAACAATAATGTTGCTTTTATTGTTGAGTGTGATAAAACTTCAGATCATACTCCGCTTCACGTGACGACACGATTCTAACGATTTAAAAATAACTCGGTTCAGAATTTTAGAAAAATAAAACAAATTCTGCTCCGTCGGCCCAGAAAGGAAACCAAAGCACTGACTGGAGGTTACATGAGAGCCATGAAAAGGTCAAGTAAAACAACAAAAGTCCACTGGAGTCCCAAAGACACGGCGAAGAAAGGACGAAGGTGAGAAGACCGTCGTCCAACAAGGGCTCGGAGCAACGTCAAACACAGGATGCTGATCCGATTGAACAAAATGACAGCAGACGCACGTGAACCCACTGAGCCACCGGGTCAGTCCAGGCTGTCGTTTCAAAAGTGAAGAAAATAAAAAGTTTAACTGAACTGTGGAGATGTAACTCTGACCAGACTCAATACATTTTGTGTAATTTAAACGATTCGGATTGTTTTAGTTGTGGGACACATGGAGGGAAGTCCCAACCAAAAGAAGACAAACACCAACTCATCCCATCATCTCAATCCTACAAAACCATTTGTCATTAAACACTTTCTGCATCGTAGAAGTTAATTAAAATATCTAAAAATCACCGTGCAAGTGATCAAAAAGGGAAACCACTCAAAAAGGATCCAGCTGAGATTCAAACTACTAAAATCTCTTCATCCTGAAACTGAGGCCAAGGTGTCCATGAGATGATGAAGATGATCTTCTCCTTCTTTCTTCTGCCACAGCAAGTTTTAACTCCAACTATCTCCACGTCCTCTCTGACTGCACCCGTATTTCTCCTCTGACTTTTTCCTGCAGCTGCATTTCTAACATCCTTCTTCCAATATACCCACTGTCCCTCCCCTAGACATGTCCAAACCACTGTCCCTCCCCTGGACATGTCCAAACCACTG